ATCGGCATAGAGGTAGGTCTTACCTGTGCTAAAACACTTGCATATATTGTTGGTGTAGATTATAAAGAGCAATGGGCCCAAGACACTACCCTGCACAACACCACTGCTTATCGGTCGAGGTGTAGATGTATTAGAGTTAATCTTGGTTATTTGATATCTGTTCTTAAGAAAAGACTTGATCCATTGCAAAAGGGGATTTATAATTCCAACTGACTTCAGTATGTTGATTAGAAGATTATGAGGTACTTTATCAAAGGCTTTCTTAATATCGAAGTATAGTATAATAACTAGTTTCTTCTGGTCACGTATATGAGTAACCTCGTTAAAGAAGTCTATCAGGCATGTACTGCACGACCTTGTTCTAATGAAGCCGTGTTGTGACGGGTCTATTAGATCTTCCTTGAGTAGGTGATCAGATAGTTGATTTTGTATCACTTTTTCCATTATGCGTGATATGACTGGAGTGATATTTAATAATAATAATAATAATTTTATTCTCAAATAACAGTTTGTTACATGAGGCATGCCAGTTTACAGGCAAGATCAATTTGATACAAATGATACAATATCCACTGTAGTAAATTACATAGCTGGGTTGATAATTTATAATATATGAATGTGAATGGTTTAAATCAGTATCACAGTTGGCGCACTTCATGAAAGTTGCGTTGCGAATGTGCAACTGATGGTTAAGGATAGGTCCATGAAGGTGGGAGCTTCTAAATGTCGCAACCTTATGTCCCTTTAGAATGTCTAAGGCTTTGAGGATGGTGCAGGATGAAATCTTTCATTCCATATCACAAGGGGGCTGAGAGAGCAAGTAAAAGAACGGACGAGAGGCAGAATAGCCAATATTCATGAAGAAATGTTTAAGGTATGATTACTCAGTCTAATTTTCTTTTATTAAGGTATTTGTTAAGAAAGAGCATTTTAATAGGTTAAAGAAACTAAGTGTTAACAAGGTGTGAGTGGACATACAATTGACAAATGGAGGCGATTCGGAAAGGAGCTGAGAGTATGGGATTATGTGTGGTTATAAAATAAAATATGGTGCTAGAAACACTATTGTGATATACAATTGGCTATCTCTTTTATCGAAGCAATTGGAGCCCTTTTCATTTTTCTGTATTATTACTTTTTTTCAGGTATCATAGGGTCTTGAGTAGGCTTCGTAAATTAGCGAATTGTCTAGTTTGCTTGTAATAGGATTACTGGGTAGGAAGTGAAACCAATACAACGTTCGTAACATGATTTAATGAGGTATTTTGCGTGATAAATCAGCATCAATACCATAAGTTCGTGACATCCCACTAAACCATAAGGAGCCGTAATTAAACAAAATGTTCTGCCCTACAGACATGGGTGGATTGAATTTATCTCCCCACCATCAGGTTTGCTGGTCAGTAACGCCACCCTCCCTCCTTTTGTGATGTTAGGCTCTCTTACGTTTGTGGTAAGTATGAATACTGCTTTAATCAAAGCCCATAGTTGGAATACACTGTCTCTACTAGGTCCATGTTACAAACAAATCAGATAGTTAAAAGGTTTGTTTTATGGGTTAGATGTCCACATAGCATATCACACTGCTATGAAGATAACTAATGGTTTAAAGAAGTAAGGACTAATAGCAAATCAAAAGATATGAGAGGGTATAAAATTGTAAGTCTGCAGTTTTCAACCAGGTTTCTCGGTCCGGATTTGCGTTTGGCAAGAACATACGTTACCTTCCAGGTTTCCGGATATGTACCTGTCTCTAAAGATAATGTGTATATTTTGAGTACTAGAGTCTGTATGTCCGGCCCTGACATTTTATAAACGATTGAAGGGATGTCATCGGCACCAGAACTCGCATTTGGCTTAAGGGTTTTAATGGCGGTATGTATACTCCTAATGTCGAAGTTTATGGTACTAAGATAGTTTTTGCCCGTGCACTTTATGTCGATATCTGGAGCATCAGATGTATTCCCATTGTGAGAAAACCATTCACTTAATAGTTCACATATGACGGTTCGGTCATTATACGTTACTCCATCGTGCAGTAAGGAGTGAATGTTGTGGTCTGTGTTCTTTCTTATACGTTTCGTGAGGAGACGACATAGGGCTTGAGCTTTAGATGCAGCAGCGAGCGCAGTACGTTCCTCTACCTGTTTATGCTTGTTGTGTTGACTTTGTACTCCGTCAAGTACAGAGTATATCTGGTGCAGGGCACTGAAGTCTTTTGATATATAGTACATCCTTTTCAGTTTTTTCAGTTTAGACCTAGTCTTTTGGTTGATATAGGGAGTAACTGTTTTAAAACCAATTTTAGAGGGTATAGTAGTGTCTAGTGCAGATTTGGTGGTGATATTGAATATTTCTAATGTTTCTAAGAGGTTATTACTGGTGAAGAAACCGTCCCAGTCAGAGTGCTTTATTAGAAATCGAAAGTTTTCCCAGTCAGCGTTTGCATAGTCTCTATATTGGAATCGCGTTTTTAATGTCTTTAATTTGTTGCATATGGCAAGAATCGGAAGGGTGCAGAGGACTACTTTATGATCGCTGTTGTGAAACTTTTCGCCAACCATCATTGATGTTGGTGTGACATTATGACAGAATATCAAGTCAAGAATGTTGTGATTTCGTGTAGGCAGGTGTACATGTTGTTGCCAGCCGTGTATGTCTAAGGACCTAAGTATGCTTTCAAAGCACAATGGGCCAGAATGTGTTTTCCAGTTGATGGTAGGAAGGTTGAAGTCACCACATACATCTCTAAGTGTTAGGGTATATGTATGCCCTGGACTAAGTAAAGGGGTCGGTTTTTCTAGCATTCGATTGTATGCTGTATCTCAGCAGGCTTGCTACGATATACACTAACCTAATAATGAGGTTTTACACGATCTTATCATGGACTTTACAGATATATTGGGTTAGCAAGCACCTAATTCTTCAGTCTTCACTAATAAGGATAGGAGGTCTGTCGACCTATATTAATCCTTGCAGTTTGTAGTACTAAGGAGGTCCAATCTTGTTTTGAATATATCGACAGAAGGTGCTGACATTACGTGTTTCGGTAGAGAGTTCCAGTAATTCACTACTCGGTGCGAGAAACGGAACTCCAGACGTAAGCGATTTGATCTTGATTTTTGAACTTTCTTCGAATGTCCTCTCAAATGATCGGTCCTAGACGGAATCAAGGGATAAGACATGTTAATACCAAGGTCACTGTTCATTATACGATAAGCCAATATTAGATCAACCCGTACTTTACGGTAAGATAACGGAAATAAGTTGAGGTGTCTCAGTCTGTCTTCATAAGATAGGTCAGATAGAACTTGTACCATCTTAGTACCTTGTCGTTGGACTCTTTCCAGCATCTCTGCTTCATCCTTGAAACAAGGACTCGCTGCTTGAATCCCATATTCTAAATGAGGTCGCACACAAATCGGGTACAATAGTCTAAACATCTCATCATCTAAATACTGGAAAGACCTACGAATAGACGATAATACCCTATAGCCTTTTGCAGCAGCAGCCTTACAGTGACTAGTCATTTTGAGATCATTGCTTAATATGACTCCTAAATCTTTATAGTTTCTTGCTTTGGGTAGCACGAATCCACGTAATGTATAGTCATACGATTCATCAGAGTTATTTAACTGCACCACTACACTCTTATTAGGATTTACTTCTAGTGGTCACCTGTCCAACCGTGCCACCAATGAGCTAAGATCATTCTGTAATACTATCCTATCCGACATACTATGTATGGGTCTCCAAATTTTTATGTCATCAGCGAAGAGTAGAACGGATGATTTTGCTACAGTTGGCAATTCATTTACATAAAGTAAAAAGAGAAGAGGACCGAGGATTGTACCTTGGGGGACTTCACTTTTTACAGGTACTCACGGGGAGAGAGCCCCATTTACCCTTACCCTTTGTCTCCTGTCATGGAGAAAGTTACTTATCCAATCTACGACTGTACAATGGATTCCCAAACGTTCCAGTTTGAATTTAGGACCAGAGTGGGAGACTTTATCGAAGGCCTTACTTAGATCTGTGAAGATCACATCCACAGGAACATTCCGATCTTTTGCAGCAGCCCAATCTTCTCGTGCAATGAGAAGATTTGTCAAGCAAGATAAGCCTTTCCTAAAACCATGTTGTGCCCTGGAGAAAAGATTATGCCCTTCAACATAGTTAAGAATGGATATCCGAATGATTTTCTCCGTCAGTTTTACAACTGCCATAGTTAAGCTAACGGGCCTATAGTTACTAATTAAATCCCTACTCCCAGCCTTATACACCAGACTTATTATAGCGTCTTTCCAGTCTCTAGGCAGTCTGGACTATCTCGGAGACATGTCAAACAGTATCGCTAATGGTTCAGCAATTACATATGATAGGGATTTCATAATCCTAAAATGAATATCATCAGGACCACTGGACTTATCAGGTTTGAGATGCTGAAGTAGCCTTAAAACAGTACCTTTCTCTACGACTACAGGGTCCATCAGCGAGCCGCCGCGATCACAGTGAATTGTTGGTCATTCCTCATTACCGATAGAAAACACCGAGCATAAATGTACTACATCCGATAGCCCATTTACTGCTAATGATTTCACAAGTACCGCTATCATGGGATTCTCTAGCAGAGGAGCGGATATTTATATTATTGGCTATTTATAACAGGACGCCACCTCATGTGCATGATGTGTTTCTATGGATAAAATCATACTTAAGTTGTACTCAGCTCATAGTCCAACTTCCATGATTTTCTGAAGAAACGATATAGCGCGTGTAGCAAGCCACTAGTCCGTTATTTGAGTTTCTCATGTTTCCACTAAGCCCATCAAATGAGGATTATTCCCATTATTTAATTCGAGCAATTCATCAATTTTATTGAGTAAAAGTTTGGCATCAGGCTGCAGGTACCGAGTTTTAAACTTCAGTATTACTTGCCACGTCAGTGCTATGCTACATAGCTTAATCAAGTACGAAATATTTGTCGATTTAAGTAAATAAGAAGATTGCTGATCTGTGAAGCAATATTTTTACCATTTATCCATTCATTCAATTACTTGAAGGTATCCTAAAAGAAGCAAATTTTCTATTGTGGTGATTTTGTTTAAATCACTTAAGTACAATTGGCAAAGCAGCGGGTTCTGTTACTATAAGCGTGACAGTCAACGATGGGTCGTATGCACAGTGGTGGGAAAGGGATTTCAAGAAGTGCTTTGCCTTATAGGCGATCTGTCCCAACATGGCAAAAAATGACGGCAGATGAAGTGAAGGAGCAGATATACAAGTTAGCGAAAAAGGGATTATCACCATCTCAAATTGGTTAGTCACTCATTGTGTAATATTACGTATTTAGGTGTTATTCTGCGTGACAGCTTTGGTGTCGCTCAGGTCAGGTGGCTAGCTGGAAACAAAATACTTCGCATTCTGAAGTCCAAGGGTTTGGCACCAGATATTCCAGAAGATTTGTACCAATTAGTCAAAAAGGCAGTTGCTATTCGTAAACACTTGGGCAGGAATGCTAAGGATAAAGACAGCAAATTCAGACTTATTCTGGTTGAAAGTCGTATTCAACGTTTGGCACGCTACTACAAAAGAAAAAGAGTTCTACCGCCTAACTGGAAGTATGATAGTTCCACAGCGTCAACACTGATTGCTTGATTCATAATATGACAATGTAAAGTATGTGGTTGAATAAATTTGTCTTGGCGACATGTTTGCCATAATTTTACAAAAGCAAGGTGGTTGGTTCGTGTTTGGATTGACCCACTTGCCATTTTTAAACTACCATATCATTCAAGTAAATATCTTAATATTTGATGGGTTCAGTATATTCGCTTGTATTCATGTTGCATTTTAGTCTTGAGGTTTGCCTGCAATGGTCGTCGTACTCCATGATTTTACCACTTTAAGCATATTAGTAGTGATTTTCTGTTTCTAAATCGTGGCTGATTCTCCATGGATCGCTACTTTGACTGATTCTAAGTTATATATTTAAGTGGAACATTACCTTATATCTGTTCTCTCAGTAAGATAAGTTTTATCCTGTCAGTGACATAAAATTTTAAGGTATGACGCTCAAATTATCTCTACTTAACATAGGTATCTAAACGTAAAGTAGTTCAAATACAATCATGAGTGCTGACAACCTCCACTTTTGCATTCTGTGGGTCAGGAAAGTCGTCTTTGTGGTAAGATATTCTGTCTTGAATGGTGAGAATGTACGCGGTTGAAGTTAATTTACTTTGGACACGTTTGATAACAAGTGGTTGTTGGGTTGGACTATAGATAGATCTAAGGCAATTAAAGTTTCTCATACATTCAGCCGATATGGTCTTGGTGTGCTTGTATTCCGTTCCTTTGAATCAGGAATTTTCATGTATTGATATCCCTTGGGCACATATTTTTGTATTCGTTTCGTGATCTGATATTTTTTTAATTGTTTCTGCCCATTCTACGACTTCATCGAAAAAGTTGACATCCAAGTTCGATTTTGATGATTATGTATACGTATATCATCGATACTAAACTTGCTTATTTGAAAGTCAGTAATACTTGACATGCTGGTTGATAGTTGAATCTCGAAATGACGTGTTTAGACAGGGTATATAAGGTTGTTTTAGACATGAACTATGTAGCTACTTGTTTTGCTTCACATGGTTGCTGGTTATATATTTTCCAAAAAGATCACACTTACCATGCTTAAACCCTTTGAATAAGCACTAGATGTGGTTTAGCATTCTAGCTTCGCAACACTAGTGTTAACGTCGAAAATAACTGCCTGTTTGTATCGATCTTATTTTCATCTAACGTACCAACTAAAATTTCCACGAAAATAATCAGATAGTTCGAAATGCAACCGAAAAGTTATTGTCATGCACACAAGTATAAGCTATGTTGTAAGTTTCATTCTTATTTCAGCTGGACTAGAGGACGTTGATTTTCCCGGCATTTTCAGGAACTTCCGTTATCCACTGACTCTGAATACCTAACTACGTGAGATGTAATAAAGTAGATTATATGCGGTTTAATTATTTTCCTAATCGTTAAAGTAAACATTTTCATCTCGGATCATAATCATAGTAGCCAAATGCTGTATGTGCTTTAACGAGGTATATGCCAAGTTGTACAAGCTTGTCACAGCATTTAGTTATCCCTTGTAATAGTGAATCTAACGATATTTTGTGATGAGCCATTTCCGAACGGATGCACCTGTGTTGATTTTACGTGTGATTTATATTTGTATCAGACATTTGTTAATACTTCGATTCACTGGTTGTCTAATGCGTACTGTGTAAGCTAGTTAAGTCTCGTCTTTGACATCTTGATACAAGTACATAATACAGATTGCAGATGAATAAAGCTCGTTTCTCATAAATTTTCGGTTGGAAAATATTCAGCACGACGATTTGCACGATATCTGTAAGGATTTATGGGAATTCGGTTGCCGGATCCTGAAGACTCATAAAACCGACCCAAAATGATTAATTATGACCATTTTCAAGTTATAATAACAAGCGACAATTAGTATAGTCGTTTGAGGTCCATGTCTAACGACAAACGATGTATAAAAAGTATTATTACGATTTAAATATCTTACATTCACTGTTAAGCATCACATTATAGAGACTATTATGCTATTTTACTTGGGTTGTACGGTGATCTTTTACAGCTTGACTGTACTGACAAGCTCGAATCCATACGTAACCGTCAAGTAAAATTTGTATTACCTACATACTTCCATCTACAAATAGGAAGTCATAGTTTTAGGCAGCTCATTAGTTATTCATCCTCGCACATAACGGTATCATAGCAATCCAATGTACTTCTATGTTGCTGAACTAAAAGGTTTTCTTGAAAAAAAGTGCAAGTTAGTAGTGGTTTGTAAGTCTTAGTGGTCACAGATTTTAATGACCGGTTCCTCGGCTTGCACTGGGTTATAGAAAATGGTATTTCCTATTGTGACCACCCGGTTCAAATTAACAGGCCGAAAAAGTCAGTAGATTATCCGCTGCAAGGAAGACTGGTGAATTTAGATATTTTTAATCGGCACAACATTCAGTTCAATATATTTTCCATAATAGACACTCAGCAGTATTAGTCCAAGTGTGTACACTAGAATTGTCTAGGAAATCGGGCTATGGTTATTTGAAAGTGTTCGGCTGTCAGATAGCAGTTTCATTTTTAAAGCAGTAAGACAATACATTTTATTACCTAGTAAAAAGTTTCTAAACTTCAAAAACAGTTCATAATCGTCTCCTAAAGGCTAAAAGCAAGCGTCATTTTTCCGGCGAAAGTGATTTAGATCGGGAGGTTTGGGTATTGCATTAGGTTAAATAGAAGTTGACTATTGTAAGATTGATTTCAATGACCTGTCATTTTGTTGATATCAAATTTATATCTTTCACATGTAATTGAGTACTTATAGGGTGCTAGGGAAACCACTACTTTTCCCATTCTCCGATTCCTTTACAAAGGTATGTATTTTTGAAAGGACTTTGGGGCTACATAGTTTTGTGAAATATTTTTGATGCTGAAGTCCATTGATTTATGCGCGTACAATATGAGTATATGAGAAGCGATAATGGTAGAGATTATGAATTAATCCAATATCATAATCGTTCAGCATAACACTTGAGTATTTTATGATTCCAGTTATGCATTTACTCAGCATAAAATTCTAGTTTTATATATCCAAATATTAATTGTTTCAAAGTGGTATTCATCAAACAATATTTGAAGTCACAATCTAGGCTTCCGTGGACAAGTGGGGTACATGGTCCAACGGTTAGCAACCTCATTTGTTGCTATACGTGATTTATCAGTTCAGTTCCATTTCAACAACCACTTTATCGTGTCAATACTATTTGAACAGAATCCCGTAACAGCTCTATTTTAAAAAATCTCTGGAATCATGAGAGCCTAACAAACTGTCAGCTATAAATTCTCTAGTTCGATGCGTAGTTCAGATCACTGGTTATATTGTATATTACTAGTCTTTATAGTTTGAAAGTGGCTACTTGTCATTCTCTGCAACCTAAAATATATTAAAAGAACAATTAGTCGTCTAATGAGACCAAGCGACATTGAGATGTGCAAACTAGTTCATCTAAATAAGGCAAACTAACCAAATCCAGCATTCTTTTGGCGAATTCTTCACATTAATCGTGTAACACTTGCAAATAAAGAAATTCATTCAGCCATTAATATTGGCACAGAGAAGTTTTATTACTGGGAATTTTTAGTTTCCTAGATGGTTTCAGCAGACAATATCGGTAAAAATTAGTATCTCGACCGTAGTTGCTACCTTAACATAGTGGTCGGGTTTGCCTATCATAATAACTCAGCTGGGCTAGGTTGGCTGGAACACGTTTCTTCAAGTATTGGTACATCAGGTACGTTGTTTGGAGAACGGCAAGACTTCAAGCCAACGCTTGTGGTTCAGGAGTCCACTACTGGCTGTGGAGGGGTGCAACAACAGTAGGATGTTTCCCTCGTGTAACCAGCGTATGCAGCGATGTTGCCTTTTTAAAAAAAAAGCTAGAAAATGTCGACCCTAAAAGTGTCACATTTCACCGTAGTCCACAGGTTCCCGTATCCGGTGGTAATAACGCGTGGCTAACACATCAAAAACTCCGCAAATATATTTTACGGTTTACGAGGATATGAATCTAATCACTTCTAACCTCATAGTAGTTGGCTTTTGTATATTTCACACTTCTACTACATTATTAAGAAAACCTACCATTCACAACTGTTCATATATTTTAAAAGTGAAATGATACCCATTAATAATTATCAAACGAGGCGAATAATACCGAACATCAGTAGATTTAAGTACGCTTACAGAGACCTGAATATGTTACACAGTCCTGGTCATACAGAATTCAGCTAGATTATGCCTTACTAACATTTAAGAACCACTAATTTTATTTACTAAAATAGTATAATGTTTAATAATCAGAGAATCTCGAAGTAGTATCTTGTTATGAATTGTTCACGAACGTCACAGGAAGTTATGTAATGATCGGCAAATGGTAAGTGTTAAAGTGAAAACTATTAAGAACAAGATAATTCCAAGTCGATATACCGTTAGCCTTCCAAATATATATACGAACCACTTCATTTCTGACTTGTCTGGGTTGGCGTACTTCGATTTTCAAATCGTTGCTGGTGAAAGTGTTGTTAAAGTCTGAACGCCTTTGGCATATTCATATGTAACTGAATTGTGGGTAAATTGATATCGGAGTTTCTCAGATATTTCTATAAAGGAAGCGTGTACCTCCGTCGTTTCTAGACTTTTGGTCAACTCATCCATCCTCTCTGAACGTCCCTTTGTTACTTTAAGTATGATTTCTCTAAATCGTTCACCTTTATCTTCTTAATTTATATAACATATGCTGTAGATGAAATATTTCGTTCGAATTCTGGTAATATCGACTTCATTTCATCGATATAACTTAACGTAGGACGTTTAAAGAACGATGGTTTAAGTGGATATGGCTTCGACGAAGTAGTTCCCAGCGTGGTCTTGGATATTCTCATTAGTTCATACAGCTTTTTCAGGATGTGATTCTAGCATTAGCCAAAGCAAGTTTCATAAAGATCCAAGACCCATAAAGGCTTTTAAGCATTATTTCTACTGCTTTCTAATTATTTACACAACTTTTAATTAGCCATTATTGCAACTTTGAAGTATCCTGTTTTTAATAGCTTTTAAGTGGACAATTCAGTAGGTCTCAATATACACAAAGGGAAAAGCAGGATTCTCCGATACAACACAGAATGCACCAATCCAATCACAATTGACGGGGAAGATTTGGAAGATGTAAAAACCTTTACATATTTGGGCAGCATCAT